GAAGGGAGGGGTCTTCTAAGCATGGTGTGGGATCCTCTGTGACTACGTAGGGCATGAACTCATAAAGTCAACCCTGGTAGGATGCTCATTTCCCTAAATTACAGAGTCTGACAAAGATTACAGGCATCTTCTGAGCAGGCTCTTGATGGCCCCTGTGGCCACGTACTTCAACACACTCTTCCCTATTTCCCTCTTCCCTACCCTTCCTCATCCCATACAGATATCCTACGGACCTTGTTGTTCCCCACATCTTTGGAAACCAGCAAGGTGTCACTCCTGCACAGACTATACTCATCCCCACTCTGCTGAAGTGGCACTTCCTTTCCATTCTCCCTCTACAGTCTGGGAATCTCTTTTGCATCTTTCAGCTGAAGCTTGGGCATGATGTGGAATGGACTCCTCTGCCTTATGTGCTGACCATGTAGCCCATACTAATGTCCGTCTTTGAACTGAACAATTTCACACCGTTCTTCTCCAGACGGTGAACTCCTCCAGGGGAGGCCTTTGACTTATTTATCTTGTACTCCCATCTAATGCCTGACTATTCCAAACATTTCTTCTAAAGTTAGGTCTGGCCTTGGCACTGTTAGGTGCACAGACTCATGGTAAAATCTTGGTTTCTGGAGCTGGTTTTATAGAACAATTCCCTGAAGTGGCTGGGAGAGACCAGTTGAACAGACACTAGGTTGGATATAACAGAGGCAGGAGCAAGTGGAAGGTAAAAATGATAGAGTGGAGGAGCTGTCATTCAAGCGAGAATAAAGCAATAAAACATGAGCAAAGACTGGCTGTGTTACAGTCGCATAACCAGGGCAGGCAGTGTGGAAGCCAGCCTTGAAGGGCTAACTCCCAGGACTATGCTAAAACACGCCCAGTTCAATCACTGTCCACCTAAGGGAATGGTGCAGCCATTGGTGCTTTCCCAAGAGCCTGCTTCGTGGGCATTAACTTAGACCCACTTTCTGCCCTGCTATGCTCAGCTGTAATATGCAAACTAATTGACCTGAAGGATGCAAGCAGAGTATTAGAATTCAAAAAATCCTGTTCCAATTTCAACTGTGCCAGTCACTAGCTCTGTTTTGGAAAACATTTAACTTCTTCGAGTCTGTTTTCTTATCTGTAAAATGGAGATAACAAGACTTCTTTTGTCCTAGGTGGCCTGGATGATTGAATGATGTAACCACTGCATACACAGACTTAACAAAGTGCCTGATACCGTGAGACATAATTGAGAAAGAATATTTATTTTATCAGTAAATGAAATTTAATCAAGTCTATAGCATGTGCCAAGAATCATCCTGTGTGCTGGGGATGCTGTTGAGAGCAAGGCAGGCATGGTCTCTGTCTCCTCAAACTTAAATTCTTTTAGCAGGGCGAGTAGGGAGAAGTCAGAGGTAACAGACAGTAGTTCCTTTTTCTTTTCCCTTGTAAACAATGTGTTCAAACACATGTTCATTCAACAGACATGGGTTTTCTCCTGTAATCTTAACAACAGTTTTATCAGATGAAGGCATTCTTACTGGTCTCTTCACAAATGAAGATTCTTAAGCTCAGAGAGTTGAGTGTCCTGCCAAGAGTCACACAGATGATCAGTCTCAGAACCCAAATTCCAACTTAGAGGCATCTGATTCCAAAGCTGTTTCAGAAGGCTTTGACTTGTTAAATAGAGACGGACTCACAGTCCTGCAGAGCAATCAGTGCAAACTAGGACAAGTTGACTTGCTTCTCAAAATGATGAGAGATGCAGAAATCATCCTAGTGTTGTTTCATGTTGGCTTTCTTCCATTAGGAAATATTTTTCTCTTTCCTTTGAGTTTGTTTCTTCCACTGAACCTCTCTCATTTTTTTCCTATTTTCTCATATATTCCTTATTTCTCTATTAGTAGAGATACTTATTTATATTTAAAAAATCCTATTTGAGTGTGGACAGCTTGAATATTGAGCCTATTTCATAATCTATCTTTCTCCACAGTGCTTCCACACCATAGCTGCACAATAAGTGTTTATATAATTCTGCAATTACGATTTTATTGTACAACCTGATGACAACAGCCTACAGAAACAGAACAATCCCATCATGTCAAGGTACTGATGTTTTGGAACCAGATAGTTCAAAATAACTGACGTTGAGGTTTCCCCTGAGTTACTAGCACAGGCTGAGAGCTGGTCTCCCAGCTAGCCTCTTCTAAGCTGAGCACTAGTTATAAATGACTGCTCACTTCTGTCCAGCCCTTGTCCCAGGGAGTCCCCATGGAATTCACATGAGGAAATTAAATTGTTCAGAATGGTGGAGCCAGAGCTCAACTCCCAGAGGCTCATGGACATCCAGATCCGATGAATGACCGTGTTGTTTAGCTGTGTTTGTTACTGACCCAGTCCTGCCAGCACAGTTGGCACCACTGAGAACCTCCCCGCAAAGTGGCTGCCCCAGGGTTTCACTGTGCTCAGAAACAGACTGTCTCAATGAGGCATTGAGCCTGCTTGATGGGGTAAGCCTTGGGGGATAAACATCAGGAGGTATTTTTGTGGGAAAATTAGGTGCACAGGGATATCATTTGATTTTGTGTCCTTTTGTATTTAGATGTTAGAGTTCGGTATAATTTAGAAGCAAGAACAAAAGACGTAAATATTGTTTCATTTATTTATCTAAAAATATTAACAAGCACCTACTATAGTCCGAGTCCAGTGCTGAGGATATAAAGATATAATCATCATCATCATCCCTAAAACTAATATTTGTTGAATTCATTTTAGCAGGCATTATGTTAAACACTTTGCATGTACTACCTACTTAATCCATAGGGTGCCCAACTCCAGGGCTGTATGATATTATGATATAATAAGAAATCTACATTTTTATTTTAGTCCTCAGTTATGGACACAGAGCTCCTAAAACCTTTATAATTTCCTAAGTGATAAGAGCAATAAAGATGAAAGTAGCAACTTTTGTGATTCATAACAAGCCTCTATCAACATTGCCTGAGTTGATATCAATGGCATGACTTTTGGAAAGCCCCTAAACGGGGTGGTGGGTGGGGGCTAGTTGCCAAGGGGATCAACCATGTGGTTAGTGGGTTGGAACTGCCAGATCCCCGACCTCCCAACCTCCAGGATGGGGTGAGGAGAGGGACTGGAGACTGAATTTATTACCAATGTCAATGTTTTAATCAATCATGTCTATGTAGTGAAACTGCCATAAAAACCCACATGGACAGGGTTCAGAGGGCTCCCAGGTTGGTGAACACCTGGAGGTGCTGAGAGGGTGGTTGCCCGGAGAGGGCATGGAAGTTCCACATCCCTTTCCATACCTCACCTTATGTATCTCTTTTTTTCAGTGCTTTTTGAGTTGCATCCTTTGTTATAAATGGCTACACGTAAGTAGGTGTTTTCCTGAGTTTTGCCAGCTGTTTTAGGAAATCATTAAACTAGATGACGAGGTTGTGGGAACCTGTGACATAGAGCTGGTCAGTCAGAGGCACAGATGACAACTGGACTTTCCATTGGCATCTGAAGTTAGGGGTCTGAGCCCTTCACCTGCCAGGGTCTGCACTGACCCCAGGCAGTTAGTGTCAGAATTGCTCAGTGTGCAAAACCGACACGTCTGCCAGCAGAAATGTTTTCTCTGTGAGCGTATTGAAAAATGGTTTGTTTTTCCCTCCTTATGAGAAATGTCTTTTCATGTCTTCCTCAACACTCACCCAAGGGCAGGGCCCTTATTATTTGTAGTATTATATCCCTAGGGTTGTGTTATGTGGCTAACCTAGTGCCATCCCGTGTTTATCCAGAGTTAGAGAAGATCAGGGTCACCGCTTTGGTAGGTAGAACCAGTGTATTTAGAAGCACCCTCCCACACTAGATTGAATGCCTGATAAGGCAGGATCGCTGCTCTCTCTCTGGTTTCAAGTTCTGGTGGAGAAGGGAGATGATAAAACAAATAATTTGAAAGTCATTTATTAATTGCTGCGACAAAAGCAACCATAGGGTGCTCTCTGGAAGTTCAGGGGAATGAGGGACTTGGGATCAAGGAAGGCTTTAAAGAGGAGGTAATATGCACCCCCATGTTGATAGGCCAGTTGGACACTTTCACGGGAAGCTCGTGGGGAAAAAGGCATTCCAAGGACAGAGAAGAACCTTTGCAATTGCAAAGACAAGGACCTATAGTAAGGGCCAGGGTTTTCGGGGGCACTTGTTAACACATATTTAGAATGATTAGGGCTCAGAGAGTGTGTGGTGACTAGTGGCAGGAGGTAGGACTGATAAGGTATACAGACCCTGAGATGCAGGGAGTGTCAGGGGGATGGGCTGAGATTTCATCTTGTTTTGGGGGAAGAAATTATATATAGTTTTCTTCCAGTTAACACGGGGTTCCGCTGGAATAACAGAAACCTCATGACAAGGCTTATCCAAATAGGGTTTTATTTTTCTCGTGCAACAACAGATCTGGCTCATGCTGCTACTTGTGGGAAGTCATCAAGAACCCAGGCTTCCCAGGATCTCTTCTCTGACATCTTTACTGTATGTCTGTCTTTTTCTGGTTCGTGACCATGAGATCTCTGCTCTATAATCAGACATGATGTCTGATGTTCATATTCCTGATATATAGGAAGCAGGAAGGGTGAAGAGCAAAAGCCTATGTCAGCAAAGTTTATCTCTTTGAATCAGGACAAAGTATCTTTCTCCTAATTCCATTCATTAGACTTTCACTAACATCTTCTTAGCCTGAACTGACCCTCATAGCCACCACTGACCAAAAGGGCATCTGAGGAAGTGCCTGTCTGAGTATAGGTGTCAGTTAATATCACCATTCTGTTTAGCGAGAAAAGGAGGATAGATTTTGGCTAAGAAACTAGCAGTGCCTGCTAGTGTGAGTGACAGGATCAGCTTACATTTACAAAACTGGCATTGTCAGCCGTCAAGGTTACCATGACCTTGTAGCCATGGCGATCAAGCAGCTCATAATGAGGCAACAGATAAACAAACAGTTGATGAAAACGTAGGGTAAGAGGGATTTGTGGTGATTTGGGAGCCAAAGGAAGGAGCACTTCACCCAGTGTGGGGCATGGTTTGGGAAGGTATCCCCAGAGAAAGTGACTCTGTGGCTGAGCTTGAAGGAAGATAATTGGTAGGTGACAAAGAAGAGGTAAGGACGTGCAAGAAAGCTCAGGGAAAAGAGATTACATGATCCTGGCTGGCAACTGTAAATAGTTCTATTGGAGAAGGGTAGAGAGGGAGTGGGTTCTTCTTAGTCTCAACTAGACACATAGGACAACCATTGGTGACACTTGACATCTGCCTACTCAGGAACCACAGGTGTTCCTCTTTAGCAAAAGCCTTTGCAGCAGCCACATGGCAGACAGCTCAGATGCAAGGAAGAATGATGTACATTGGATGGTTCAGGTTCCATAGGGCTTAAAAGTCTCATGCCTTTCAGGAACCATTTATCTCTCATAAGAACTCCGTAGGCATTGCTTGTTGCTTCTTGGCTTCTTCTCTCATGCTAACTATAGAAGTCTCCATAATCAGGAAAATCCAAAATAAGGAATCTTCATCACATATCTGTAGTTATCCCAGTCCAGCTCCAGTCCTCTTAACAACAGGGGTCATTTTACAAGAAGCAGTACTGTTTTGTTTAAGTGATATATCTGTTCCAGGAAAACAGCTTAGAAACTTTATCCAGTGGTCAGATTCTTAATGCACAAGGGGAAAAAATGCTAACTGTTTGCCCAGAGCTCTTTAATGTATAGGCTATGAAAAGCATGAAAGGGATTTCTGAAAGTAGATTATGCTGATTATATTTTTTATTTAAAAATTATTCCTGAGTTATGCAGGAGATTGATTCAATAGGTTCATGATGGTTCATATGGCTAGATGAAAGGCTATTTTGTGTTTATTTCCTTTTTTGTTTTTAATAGACTTAATTTTTTAGAGCAGCTTTCAGTTCACAGTAAAATTGAGCAAAAGGTAGAGAGATACCCCACATCTCCCATCCCCATATGTGCACAGCCACTCATCAGCACCCACCTCACCGTGGTTCACTTCTTATAATTGATGAACCTACATTGACAAATCATTATCAACCCAAATCCATAGTTTACATCAGGGTTCACTTTGATGTTGCATATTCTCTTGGCTTTGATAAATGTTTAATGATATGTTTCCACCATTGTAGTATCATGCAGAATAGTTTTACTGCTCTAAAAATCTTGCCCTCTGCCTTTTCATTTTTCAATCCCCCCAGACCCTTGGCAACCACTGATCATTTTACTGTCTTCATGGTTTTGCTTTTTCCAAAATATCATATAGTTAGAATCCTACAGTATGCATCCTTTTCCTATTGGCTTATTTCATTTAGTAATATTCATGTAAGTTTCTTCCATATCTTTCCACGGCTCCTTAGCTTATTTCTTTTTAGTGCTGAATAACATTTCATCATCTAGATGTACCATAGTTTATTTAGCCACTCTCCCACTGAAGGACATATTGGTTACTTCCAAGTTTTGACAGTTATGAATAAAGCTACTATAAACATTCATATGCAGATTTTTGGTGGACATAAATTCTCAACTAATTGGGTAAATGCAAAGGGCATGATTGCTGGATTGTAAGGTAAAAATTTTGTAAGAAACAACCAAATTCTTTTTTCCAAAGTGACTGTACCATTTTGCATTTCCACCAGCAATAAAAACGTGTCTGTTGTTCCACATCCTCACCAGCATTTTGTGTGGCCAGTGTTTTGCTTTCAAGGTAAGAGAATACCTATACCATCAATGAGGTAAGAATTGGTGAGGTCCTGAACTAAGGCAGTGGCAGTGGATATTGAGTGACTAAATTCTAGAAATATTGCCAATTTAGAATTGACAGATTGTGGTGATAGATTGACCTTGGGTGTTGAATCTTGGTTGACTCTGAGGTTTTGGGTTTGATGACAAGATGATAGATGGTAGTGATACTACCTGCAGACATAGGAGAATAGAGGACACTACCTGCAGACATAGGAGAATAGAGGACCAAAACTGAAGTTTTGAGAGCTGGCAATATGGTACCTCATTATGAGCTATCTATAGTCTGTGGCTTTGGGCGATGTCTGGATTGGAAGTAGAAATTCAGGGTTTATGGATGTGAAGATTGTAGCTGAATTCATGAGATTTGATGTGACTCCCCAGTTAGAGCATTTCCTGTAGAACGATAAAAGAAAGGGCAGGAGACAGAATTGTGGGTGGTGTGAAAACCAACTTGCAAGGGGTCGGGAGAAAGAAGAGCCTACAGAAACCAACAGTGTCTTGCACAAGGTTTGTTGCCTCAGTTAATAGATGTTGACTTGAACTACCCAGCTATTTCTGTCTCCCTGTTATCCTCAGCAAATATAAGCTACGGCTTTTAAACTGTGTATTTTTCACTAATCTAGAAGCAAAAAAGAGCAAATGTTACAAAACTTGGTAACAGCACAAGGTTTTGTCCAAAAGTGAGTGATACTGAGAATGCATGTCACACAAACAGGTCTGGAAAAGCATTCTTAAGAGGCTGATAATGAACCAGGTAGTTAAGGGTTAGTAGTATGTGAATTACTTTATTAATTTACTGCTGGCAAATACTTCCTGGTGCTTACTCTGGGATGGTTGCTGTTCAGCACATTGGGAATAGAGAGGGAAGAGTCCAGACCAAACCTTCATTTCCCCAGATTCTCAGCCCTAGTGGAAGGAGTCTAACAGTGCATAAATATTTACAAAATATAATAGAAAGTAAAATGCATAATGCAGTAAAGTACAACAAGGGATGAGGAGGCAGAGAATTTCTGCTTTACATAGAGTCGTTGGTTGAGCAAAGACCCAAATAAAGTTAGGATTTGAGCTGTGTGACTGTGTGTAGGAAAGGCATTCCATTCAAAGGAAAGCAGGCCAGGGGATTCTGACAACTTCAGTTCTTCACAGTAAAATCATACCTATGTCCCCAACAAGCTTGCATCTTTCATAGCTGGAATAACACAGAAATAACACTGGCATGAGGGAGGAAGTTATGATTGATCTCTACTATGTGCTGGTGTCTATACTGAACACTTGACCTTTTCTCACTTGTTCCTTACAACCATGTATCATAAGTCATGCTGTTGCTCTCATTTTGCAGGAGAGAAACTGAGGCTCAGAGAGAACATAATTTGCCCTAGGTTCCACTGTTAATGGCTGGTAGAGCTGGAATGTTTGTGGGGGTCTTTCTGGCCTCAACGCCCTTACTTTTCGTTCATCCATCTATGGCATCCTCCACAAATGACTCAGGTGACACTCCCAACTGTGTATTCCACAGGACAAATTTAAACTCGCTGCACTGCAAGGAAGGAACTAGGGCTATATTTGTTTTCTGTTGACTGGCTGACTCCACAATGGTTTTGCAAACCTCAGATAGAATCACTGAATCTATTTAAAGTTCTGCCTGAGACACGTTGATATAGTCAAATAAAAGATGGAATGCTGATCTTTATGTAGTGTGCATAACAAACAAATGTATCCCAAGGCACTCACTGTAGTGCCAAGGTCCCCAGGGATGGCTTCTGTTTAGTTTTATGCACATTTACACAATGCTTGGACTGAATTAAAACAATAAAATTACAATTGAAAAGTCTCTCTCGGCCAGGCGCGGTGGCTCAAGCCTGTAATCCCAGCACTTTGGGAGGCCGAGATGGGCGGATCACGAGGTCAGGAGATCGAGACCATGCTGGCTAACACGGTGAAACCCCGTCTCTACTAAAAAATACAAAAAATTAGCTGGGCGAGGTGGTGGGCGCCTGTAGTCCCAGCTACTTGAGAATGGCGTGAACCCAGGAGGCGGAGCTTGCAGTGAGCTGAGATCCAGTCACTGCACTCCAGCCTGGGCAACAGAGCGAGACTCTGTCTCAAAAAAAAAAAAGAAAAAAAAAAAAAAAAAAAGAAAAGTCTCTCTCTCTCATATGAGTGGATAAAAAATTAAGCACTAGTATCAATAAGTCACGAACAATTCTGTTCTTATTTGTTTTCACTGTTGTATCTGAAAGCTGTTGGTGACTGGGTTGATCTCCTGATTGTTTACTAGCGAATTACCAGTGCATTATTCTCATTGGCAATCGATAGCTGTCTTTAGCATCTGGAGAGGCTTTAGGAAATTACTTTTCAGGGTGACGATATTAGGCTGACTCTGGTTGGAGCAATGGCTTTTACTGCTTAGGGTATTGTTTCTATTTCAAAAACTACCATCTTTTAGAAGTTAGGAAGGAAGTGGCTGTGTAAGTTTAGAATTCTCTGAGATATGTATTTCCATGTTATAGGAAGATGGGATCTGTGTGGGAAGGAGCAGGATGAGAGATTGGAGAAGCAGCAGGAACTTTATCCTCTTATCTAGGAGGGTTGTGTAAAGCATTCTACGGATGCTGGGCTTGATTCTGTAGGCACCATGAATTCTTGAAGGATTTTTAAGCAAGGGAACGCCATGAGAAGACTTTAGATTTTTGTGAATTATTCTGGGGCAACGAGGGTGTGGCTGTCTGTTGGTTCAGGTTAGACGTTAGGTCAGCATGTTTTATTCTTAGTGCTCACTTTGACATTCTCCTACTAGATCGTGCTATCTCTCATTATTAATGTAAGTCCTTAAGTGATCATGAGCAAAGCAGATCACATGGTCACAATCTAATGTGGAACAAAAGGTGAAAATGGTTTGAGTTGAGAAGAAATGATTCATCTCAGTTTATTCTTATTTTTCCAGAATGTAATAGTTCATATTAATGACTGTGCTTCTGGCTAGAATTCCTGAAATCCACGTGTTCTCTCATGGATTCGCAGGACTTCTACATGACCTCCAGATAAAATGTGCTCTATTTGTGATAAAACATGCATCCTTGGTCTTGAGGGCAGACATCAGGCGGTGTCAATCAATGCATCTGCATTAACAGACCAACCAGCAGAGACAAACCATGATACCTGCATCTGGTAGTGCTCAGTCTTGAGTCCTTCTAAACATGGGACTCCCCTCGCTGAGGCTGTCAGGCTGCCAGTGGAAATAACATGCACATTGTGGAATGGTGCCAATTGAAATCCATAGTCTCTAAAACTTAGCTCAGTTCTTAACATTGCTGGATAACCCTTTAACACCTCCTTCCTCTGCTCTTATTTCTCCTTC